GTACGCAGTACAGGTACAGTGTTGATACGCTGTACTATAATATCACGTACACTTTTTGTACTGCTACCGTACAGTTACACCGTACACCGCCATCTCGTGGCAGTACAGTAACAGTACGGTAGAAGTATCTTGTGCGAGTTGGTGTCGGTATCGCACGCTTGTCTATCTGGGTGGGTATAAATTTTTCAATTAAATTAAAAATTTTTTTTAATATCGACAATTCTCGGAATTTTATACAATGTACTTTTGGTAGTGTATTAATTTTTGTATATTTAGTATCGATCGTCGGTGGTGCAATGATATTAAAAGCTCGATAATAGATAAAATCACATTTTACATTACCACTAGATTTCCTTTCTCTCTCTCTTTCTCTCTCTCCCTCTCTTTTTCTGTTTTATACGAGTGTACAGAACAGAAAAGTGCACGTGCGGTGCGTCTGATTTTTGTTTAGTATTACATATAGATTGTAGTTGTAGATTATACAGAATTTGTGAACTGCGAGCTACGGCAACGGGGTCTCTCACTAAAGATTATTGTTTATTGGATGACGCACGAGAGAGAAAGTGACATTTACATTTCATTATCGAAAAGATTATCTTAATATTCAAGTTATCGAAAAAGAATCTGTATACATTTGTTGTGATACATTTTTATTTACAAATTAAACTAAATTTGTCATTATGGGTGATGCCACTTTTCTCGAAGTTGATGACTCTATTAAGGCTAAAAATTTATTATTATTTGTAAGTATAGGTAAATACATATTCATATTATTGATATATGTACGTATGTATGTGAGTTATGACAAAAATGTTAAATATTTCTGACAGGATGAAGATAAGGATGCTTTAAGTCAGATGGACAAGTTGATGGAACAATTTGATTCGGCATCATCTATCCTTGTGCAACCTACTCCTGGTTTATACATTTTACACGTTGCTATTGTTATATAAAAATGAGGGATTTATTTTCTAATATTATAATATTATAGGTGTCTGTGTAAAAACCCGAACAGTTGATAAAGTAAAAGTTTTTGTCAATGTATGTACGTCAGATAAAATTCCACCGCCTGACGATATATCTGATGCTAAACTACTTGAACTTTTAAATGATGAAGCACCTGCTTATGTCATACCAATGAGTATTGGTTTTGAAAGGATGGAAGCAGATAAATGTAAATAAAAATCTTTTACTTGTCTATTAGTGTTAAATTAATGATGCTGCACTGTATACAATCACGAAATATTATTTTTTTTACAGCTGGTACACCTAGTGCAACATATGATGTCATGATAAATACAGTATATTTCAAGAAATGTCAAGAAAAGAAACATTTTATGGCATTTACAACATTAGTCATATTAAGTGGTGTGGCAGATAAATTTAACAAAAAGGTTGATACAGAAAATTATGTTATTCTAAAAAATCGTACAGTAAGTATATATAAAAAATAAAATATATGTATTTATCTGTTAAAACTCCTTAATGTAATTATATTCGCATATTATTTCATAAGCATATTCCTAAATATACATTATTCTAGGTAATGGGAAAACTTCAACAACATAGAATAGAAAATCGTAAGCCCAAAAGGCCGCAAGGTCACAAATCATTGATAGAGGAAATTTCGCATTCTACAAAGCCTATCAACAGCAAGACTAATCTTTCAGCTAGCAATGAAACAAAAACGGGTTATGTAATTTTAAGAAAACCAGCGAAAGGCCCAATTGAGCGTTTAATCGCTTTATTTGATATGCCAAAAAGCGTTAGTCACAAAATTATTAAGTAGATTTATCATACAGAGTCTTTATAGTATTCAGTCAGATAAGATAAATATGCATTATCACTTACAGGTTTCAGTCGAAGATATAGTAGTATTGATCAACTCTGATCGTATAAATGTTACAGATGAGAAAGCTTATTATTCGTATGACGTTTTACTGCCATATATGTTAAAAGCAGATAATGCGAAAGCTTTTCTCGACTATAATATTGGGGTGAGAATTTATATTCCCTTTTTTTTGTATCGGATAATATTTGCCTATAATGTATATATTTTCTTATTTTTCAGGTGTTACGAATAGATATATTAACAGAACAAAAATAAAATGAATATTAAAAAATAATTTTGTTTGTTGTGCCTCCCATTTTAAGAGAAATTTTGTTTGTTTTGTATTTAATTAAAATGGTTAAAATACGATTTCATTATATTTTCCACTTTAGTGTATTCAATTTTGAAGAAAAAGATATCTATACGTTCTATATTATATAAATATACAAATTTGCTTAAGAAATATATCTGAAAAAATGAAAATAAATTATCTTTCTGGAACTTTATAAAAGCTCAATAAACAAACAAGATTTCAAATATATTTCATAGAACAATATAAATTTATCAACAAATTGCACGCTAAATTTTTCATATTTCCGTGTAGAATGCTGGTCGTTCGATACCTACAATGTTAAAAATTTGTGGCAACAGATACACTGTATTTACACCTAACATGAAACAAAATACATATCTATAGACTAGATCGACGAACACCTTGTTTTGACTATTGTAATCTTGACACTTTATAAGTTCCCTCCAATTAATTTGCAATATGCCACATATTATAATATAACTGAATGATTTGCAGAAAGTTTTTGTTACAACAATGCCAGACAAGCCAAGTGCAGTTCTAATAATTAGACGACCAAGCACGGAGTATGTTGGCCAAATGATATGAAATGGTGGTAAAAATTGTGATACCCTTAATAGACCAGTATAATAATTGAGCCATGCTCCTGTATGAACTCCTGTTGTGACTGATACAACCATGGCAGTGTCGCTTCTGAAATACATAAAAAAATCATTCATATAAGTATAAACTTTTTTAAAGCTGAATTGGCTTGTCTTGGTGAGTGTGATATTCAACATTGACAATTTATCTACCTAGTAGGTGTCCACTTAGAGTTGGATGGATAATATACAATAATGGCAATACTGATTGCAATCAGCATCGCTAAAAGCCAAAAATTTGTAACAATATAAGGACTTGTTATGTCCACTAAGGGTACCAATGGAATCATTAATGCGATCGTTAACGCTAATCCGACCACAATATCTAGCACAGTATGCATACCTAGGTACAATCTGCTCATACTGACAAGTGTACACCTAAAAAGATGAATGTTGCAGAGTTCAATAATTTTATATTAGGTCTGTTCGCGTTGCTTGCACTTTTTGCACTAGACATTTTTGCTTTCTCTCTTTTCAAAGCCAAATATATATCTATTTCAAGTGCAAAAATATTTGGAAATTTCATGTAACGCGAACAGACCTATTAATACAAGGAGTAAACAAGCAAATATTGTAATATAGCAATCAAGAATGAATCAATTACAATATATCACCTACCAAAGAGATGCGATAATGCAACCGACAGAAAATGGATAAATATATTTGTTCATTGTAAATAATATTACACTAAACGGTATTGTCAAACCAACCATAGCATGAGTGGATGGCATTCCATATTCTTGTGACCATTTATCTTGTAATCTGACTACTGGAGGACACGCTGGTCTAGGCCAACATATTATATCTTTTAGTATCTGCCCTGTGGATAAATAACACAAAATTAAAGATAAATTGCATGAAAATCATGCGTGCTTATTGTTATTTTTTAGTTATTAATTCATCATACCAATTGTCATAATAATACCCCATACTAAGACTACTCTTTGACCAACAGCTCCATCAATATTCCAAAACAAGAAAGGTAGAAAAGTTGAATAAAAGATCTCGTCTCCTAACTCAGTTCCAAACACAAATGTATAATACCAAAATGAATTAGTGATTGTGTAATTTGGATTATTTGATACCATCAAAACTCCTTTGTCCGTTTCAATTGTTCTTTGTTCCGAAGAATTAACTTGCTTTGTGTATACATTCAATCGTTGGTTTGCATCACAATCATTTATCTTTTTATGGCAAGTTGAAATATAATTTTCTTTATTTTCGTTGACTTTTGTGTTACATTTTTTCTCTTCCTCTTGGAATGTTTTTTTATGCCTATTGTAATGTATTTTGACACCAAAAAATTGTTGAATCAATGCGACTAATTGAGGGTCCTTTAAGTAATCCATTATTCTTATTAGCTTCAACAGCATTCTTATTGGAATTCTTAGTGGATTGGTTAATTAATTTTAAATTGTTTTTTTAAACAATTATTAATATGACTTTCTCCTGGTCACGAACATCCCGCTAAATAATCTGTATAAATAATGTTAATGACCTTAATCTTATAATAATCAATCAATGATGTAACTAATGTAATTCAGGGGATTAAGCAATAAAAGTAAATATATATAATTTTCAATAAAAAAATCCACAACTATACATATTCACTCCATTCCACCAATTTCGATTTTATAAAATTTTTTCTGCGCTTGTGCCGTAATACGCAGAACAAGTATAATAAAGCGATAATAAAAATTATTGCCGCCACTACAAAAAAAATTATACAATTGAAATAAAAACGACATACATTAAGGTTAAGTAATCTGCCGTAATCGACCGAATGTGTGATATGATAAGCATGCACGGTGATAACATTTCGATATTCACCTCCATCGATTCTTTGAAACTTTTTATAACAACATTAATTGTTATTCACTATTAAATGTGTAAACATCGCTTTATTTACGATACACAGGGATTTTAAGTAGGATTAGGTTAGGGGTTAGGTTAGGCTAAAGGTGCGTTCCGTATCGCGCATGATGCGCATGATGCATCCATTGTCCTTGTTTAACATTTGGTGAGCAACAAGGATAAACGACGCATTATGTGCATCATGCGAGAAACGGAACGCACCCTAAGGCTACTATTGTAATTCTCTTTTAATGACATGATGTCGTTAGGGGCTCCGCACAATAAAAGGAACAGGGAACAGAGAATAAGAACTTTAACCTATCAGAAATCATGTATTGTGGAATACACAGTTTCTGATAGGTTGAAATTCTCTGATCTCTGTTCCCTGTTCCTTTTATTGTGCGGAGTCCCTTAGATAGTCGTTGCGCAGCTTTTTTACAATGTACAAAACCTGCGCAATGAATATTTAAGTACCGGCAACAGTAAAACAACATACTGCAGCGATCAACTATAATTTATTTATCTAATATGTGATAACGTGATAAAAACGTATAATACTATATTTATCACTGAACAATTATATAATCAACCTAACTCGATTTATCATTATAATATCGTTATCGATTGTATATTAATAATTAGTCGAACGATGATTTTAATCATCGATTTTACGTACAGAATACAGCATTGTATGATCGATATTCCTTCCATTTTTTTACTGGAAAGAAGGAATTAAGCAACAAACGCTAGCACACGTTAAATCATTGTCTATAGACTTTAGATCCAATAAAAATTACACAAATCTTAGGCAACACAATGCAACATTGCTGCAGATCATAGGTCTGTCTTTTTATTCCTACACACTAAACTGCACTAGAACTCTCTTTTTCGTTTTCACCAAATATCGAACATGTAAAGCTATATATCTAACTTTAAAGTTACAAAAAGTGTACATTAATTCAACTATAACTAGAATATAAAACAGACCTCAATTATATATATAAAATTATCTTTAAAAAAAGATAAAACAACTGATGCTACATGTATATAGTACTCAGTAAACCTACCCAAGTGTCAGTGACCGATTTTGATGTAACTTGGCATACTTTTAGAACTCACAAAAATAATCGATACGTATTTTTTTATATCTGCT